CACCGCCGGTCGTCTTCTGATACGGCAGCGGTGGCGCGCAAAACCCGTTTGACCGCATTCTGGTGCCGCCACCGCGCCGCCGTTTCTACATACGAGAAACCTATGGAAAAAGTGTATGCGTGATAAATGATAAAGAAAATTAATACCGATAATAAAAATAAAATAAATCGTAACGATACTTACAATACGACCTGTATAGTATTATAATAATATAATTATGATGTACATGCAAACACACCGCCCGTTAATCGGATGATTCGATTAGACGTATTTATTCCAACTCCTCTCCCGTGCCTGTGTCCTAATTTTTCCTACACGAAACCCCCAGCCCTTGGTAGTGGATTACTCGGTCTCTGACGCTGCGTTTGTAATGATATTAATATATTATGGTGTATTCAATTATTATTATATTAAATATATAGGCAAGTATTATAGCCGTATACCTATTATCTATTATAATATATTACCATACGTCTATACGCACCGCCCGATGATTGTGTGTGTGTAATAACTAATAAATAATAATATATATTATATGGACGTGTGTTACACGGCGTGTTATACTGTTTACGGTTTATTATTGTTGTTGTCGTTGTATTATTATTATTACCAACGAGACGTTGCACACAAATTATCGGAATTAAATGAGAGTACATTATTTTGTACACCGTTTTCAGACGGGAGTGGTTGGGCGRTTTTTATCAGAGATAACGACGTAACGTTGTTGTGGGTCTACTATGCTCTACATGGATCTACATTCGTCGGGCGTGGTGAGAAATTTTTTTGAATTTTGATTTTTAAACAGTAAAGATGTGTTTTCCGATATAGACTCTTACTGAGTTGTCACTCGAACCGATGTCTGACCGTCGTCTCAAGACCGATGAACGGTGTTGATAATAATAAATAATATATAGTCATGTACAATACTATTGTACTTACTTAAAATTAACCATGACAACAATTCCCTTACAATATTGTCGTGGAATCGTATTTGTACATCTTATATTATTATACCCAATGATGGTTACACGTGCTCTTCGTATTGTATTGACGTACGGCGTCATTGGTTTATACTGTGTGTAGTTAGACTAAATTATAAGGTCAGTTTTCATATGGTTGTGATTATTACCCACAAATTAGATGTTTTTTTTGTTATAYATGGGTACATAATTCAATTAAGTTATTAATAGAAATCAATGGGGTACCAATTAAAATACTTATTCAAATGACTGTCGTTTTCAGTGTTTAACATAATTTTTGTGGKTAATTACTTTATACTTACAATACACCTATACATTTTACTAAACTAATCACAATGCATATATTTTACTCCTATATACTTATACTCGCTTATACTTTAATTACTTTTATTGTGTATAATGTGTATCATTTTAGAGCTCGTTTTAGAGTGTACTAGTGTACATATAATATACATGGGTAATGTCAATGTGTATATTAGCCTCGATTATATTAACTATTTGGCATACACTAAGACTAAGTACATAATATTACATTATACGGATTGAGATGTATAATATTATTATAATAATACAACCGAAAAATATTGTTTGATAAACATTTTATGATGCGTTAATTAKGTAGTATTAGAAATTTGGAATATATATAAGTAATTACGTAAATTAATGTAATTAATGCCAATTCCAATATAAAATATAATACATGTAGTTATTGATACATATTTATATTTGAAGTGTCATTTAAAACAATACTACCTTGGTTTATACGATATTTTTTTTATATTAGGCACTTTTTATATTTATGATTTTATGATTTTTTAAATCAATCACTTGAGAGATTTATCGGTTTGGTACCTATTTAATTTTATTGTATTTATATGAGTAAATACAATTAATACGTTATACGTACCTAAGATATTAGTTGTAATAGACGTCTAGTATAGCCGTATAGGTCTAGTTTACCGAGTATCTTTGTTGTTATAATATTTTTAATTTATGAGCATTTTTGAACACTGTAAACGATGGTGCAAACAAAAAACAGGAGTAGTCATTATTTTCAAAGTTATAAYCGTGTGACGATCACGGATCGGCAACAATGTTATACTTGTCAAACCATGGGTTAGGAATGTTAGGATACTCGTCATATTATGGCTAAAACCAGACCATAAGGGGTTCTCCCCCATAGTTGACTAATCTAGCTTCTTAAATTAATTTTATGATGGTATATTTAAAAAAAAAATCTAAACACTATTGAGCTTATAATTAACCCCGTAATTAACTGTTCYACGGGAAAATAGTTGTTTATGTAATATATACCTATAATCTATATAGGTAATTTTCATTTTATTTTTAAACTGTTGACACATAGAACACATGATAAAAAATATTATTTAATCAATGACTATAATATGTACTTAAGAGTCAAGCTTAAAAGTCAATATTTGTTAAGTGCCATGAGTGTTATTTTCACACTTTATGACAAAACATTATTGCAGAGTGCAGATAGGTACTTGCATAGTGTTTTAGTTAGTGCGTTATATACGTGTATCATGATGTGTATAATTATGTATGTTTGTCAGACGAATAGATGTAGGTACTAGGTACAACGATGGTATCCCACGTTTTATATTAGCATGCGCGAAAATGAATAGTTATTATTTTCTGTTTTATTTTTACAATAATTATTCATATTATATAAAATATACTAAGAAACAGTGTACCTTTCTAAATACATACTTAATGATAAATTCTCCGGGAGAGAGGTATTTCTATTTTCCATTATTAGCGAAAAATCATTACTGTAATAGATTSGATATATTGTATAAAATCGTTTACATTATAACCTGCTGCCATAGTATACTTAATCTCAAATTGGGCCTCAAATGCTGTTATCCAAACATAACATGCATTATGTTCTGTACTAAATCTACAATAAGATCCGTATTATCAAATAAAACTGTGCTGTAATACTTATAGTATACGTCTATATATATTTTTATTTTTGTTATAATAATATTCAAATTATTTGTAGGTATTTAACAATATGATTAATTCAGCTTGTTAAGCCCTTGAGTAAAGCTCTCCATTAATGCAACTTTTACTTTAATTTTAATTTTCAAATATTTATTTAAAATTAATTTTTAAATGTTCATCTAGTACTTTTTAACTAGTTTTTAAATAAGGACACCAAGTGCATGTGTCTATACATGCACTTGAGTTACTATAACTTCACTTCACACTATTTATAACACTCTCTTACTACTGTGAAAGATGTTGAATGCCGACCAATGACAATCAATAATTTWAAAAAAATGGGTTGGTAGGTACACTAGTTTATTTTTATCTATGAAGGTTTGACTTAATGCACTCGAGTATATCGACTGTAAGTTGTCATATTGAATCAAATGAGTGGACGAGGGCAGTTTTTGTGTATTGGTACATGACGTATAATAAAAACATGGAACTCTATTTGCTTATTGCGTATATCGATCTCATTCAAACCGTTTATATTTAATAATAATAGCTTCGTATATGACATTCCTCGCCATGTTTTCATCTTGAGAAAATATTAATATAGTAATAACACGTAAGAGTTAGGTCGTGAGAACGATGTGCTCAATATGAGCTGCAGACGTGTGCGTGTGTGGGGAAATTAACACCACRTTCATTTTTTATGTGTTAATTCGTGTCAGTACAAATATTTTCAATGCATAGTTCGTGCATCGTGTACAGGGTGTTCCAAACAATTCATGAAGACAATGCGTACACCATATAGGTACGTGATCCAGTCAATTTTCGTGACACTTGGATCATTGAACCAATTGAAAATCGTGTTAGCCGTTATATACCACAATTCGTAATAATTGCCTAATCATGTTTATTGCATGTTTTACACGAGTTTTAACGAGCTACTATTTTATTTTTTTWAATTATATACTATTCATTGATTTTTTTTTATCTCGTAAAACTACGATATAATATGTACTTGAATTCTACTCTTGATTTGTAATTTTAGAAATTCAAAAAAATAAAAAATGTTGCTATACTGTATGATTTTAAATAACAAAGATAATCAATAATATTGATTTCGTAATTCGAATATCTCCATTTAAAAAAATAAACCAATTTCATATTTAATTGTTATTTCTTTCGTGACATTGAGGTTATTAAAAACCTTTATTGTTTCCATCAACCATCATACCTAATAAACCCTTGTTTTTTGTTTCTATATTTAAAAAATTCTAAATTTAGAAGATAAATTGAGTATAAATTCTAATTTATTATAAAATTATTACTATATTATGCATATAGGCGCCCTATATATAGGGTATATTATTTTATCAACGATTGGTTTCATCGTAAATAGTTAAGTGAGGGATTAGGAGAGTATGCTCTCCTAATTTATCTCATAACTATCCGGTAACGTATTTAATATATAAATATAATATATTACCCTTTATATTACTTTAGCTAATATTAAAGTCGATCCAAATAGAAAGATTTACAGCAAGTAAAGTGACTACTGTATTCGCATTGTTAGGTACACGTACTCAGAAAGTCAGAATGTAGACAATCAGAAACAGCTTATACTTTATTACCTATAGATACTTGCTTAAATGTATATTGTCAACAAACACGCATATTATTTTGAATTTGGCAGGGGATGGCCTTGGGTCAGAGTAAATTTAAGGTGGGCTACCCCTGGCTATGTACCTGATTTTTAATATCTTGGATCATGTACTATAGATATACATATACTCGTTATGCCT